AGATGCAAACTCTGAGAAACTGCCACAAGCTGAAGACTAAGGAAACACAATGGCTAAATGCGGTATCATAAACAGGATCTTGGAACAGAAAATAATATTAATAACCCAAAGGAAATGTGGAGTTCAGTTAATAATAATGTGCCAGGTGTTTTGGTTTGTTTTGTATTTTATTCTTTTTTTTTTTTTTGAGACAGGATCTCACTGTGTTGCTCAGGTTGGCCTCAAACTCGAGATACTTCTGCCTCAGCCTCCAGAGCACAGGGATTTTAGGTATGTACCACCATGCATGAGAGTAATGTGCCAGTGTTGACAAATGTACCATAAAGACGCTAGATCTTAACAAGTGGGACTTGGAGAGTATGTGGGAATTCTCTGTTTTCTTTACAACTTTTCTATGCTTCTAAAAGTATTCCAAAATAAAACTTTTTTTTAAAACTCTGAGCAGTATGAAGTTCCTTTAAAAATTAAAAACTGAAGCCAGGCATGGTGGGGCACACCTGCAATCCCAGAGCTGCGGAGGTGAAGCTCCAGGAATAGAAGCCTGAGGTCAGCTCGGGTGACTTCACCGAACCTGTCTCGGAATACAAAAGGACAGGGGGACCCCTCAGTGGGGAGCACTTGCCTCGAAGACCGGAGGCCCTGGGTTCCATCTCCAGTGCTGCAAATCAATAAAAATTAAAAATCGAATTGTTGCACAATCTAGCAGTTCCACTTCCGGGTAAATACCCAGAGTTGAAAGGAGTTTCTTTCTTTCTTTTTTTTTTTTTTTTTGGTACCAGGGATCAAACTCAGGTCTTTGTGCTTTTGGCGTAGGCAGTGGAACCACTGAGCTAAATCCGCGGCCCTGAAAATAGTTTCTTAAAGAGATATTTGTGTGCTCATGTTCAGAGCGGCATTGTTACAAGAGTCAAAAGGCGGAAGCCACCCAAGCGTCCAGTGATGGACAAACAAACGCATAAACAAAATATGATATAATCTTCACAGTGGAACATTATTCAGCCTTGAAAAAGGAAGGGACCAATGACATAGTCTATGACATGGATGAGCTTTGGGGATGGGTAAGCTAATTGAAATCAGCAAGTGGCAAAGACAAATCCTGCATGATCTCCCTTACATGAGGTCCTTTAGAGCTGTCAGACCAGAGAGACACAAAGTAGAGCGGTCATTGTGGGGGGCTGCAGAAGAGGAACTTGTTGCTTGGCGGAGGTGCAGATTTTCACTTTTACAAGATGAAAAGCATCCTGGAGACAGATGCCAGTGGAGATTTCACAATAATGTGCATTTATGCGATGGCACTGGACTTCAGTGACATTTGAAATGGTACATTTTATGTTGTTTGTATTTTATCACAGTTAAATAAGTGAAGAAAAAACCAGAGACTTTGATTGAGTCACCCAGAGTCAAAGAGGGACGACGGGATTCGAACTACAGTCTGGTCGTCAAACCGGACCTATTTCTGGCTCCTGCGTGGGGAGGCAGAGGTGAGCAGCAGTCGGGGAAGCTGGGACTCCCTGTGCGGCTGTCTCCTCTCTGCGGCTTCATCTCGTCTCCGGCTGCCTTGCGAGCACTCAGGTCTCCGGTACCGGTTCTGCCTGGTGCTGACTGGGACCTAGGCCAAGACCAGCGCTGTCCCGGGCATCGCCTGCCTGTGTGACCGCGGGTCCTGGAGGGAGAGGCGGCCGCAGCCCTGAGGGAGGGCGTCCAGGGGAACGGGAGAGACTGGCTCAGAGGGACCTATCACCAGACAGACACCGGGAGCTCGGTCGGCCTGGGCTTGCCTGCATTCGTTTATTTACCACCAGGGCTTGAACCCAGGGCCCACACCCTGAGCTACACCCCAGCCCTCCGCCCCCTTCTTACCTTTTATTTTGAGATGGGACCTCACTAAGTCGCCAATCACTGAGGCTGCCTGGAACTTGTGATCCTCCTGCCTCAGCCTCCCAGAGTGCTGGGATTACAGTGAGGGCTACTGCTACATCTGATTGTCACAGCAGCTCTTGGGACAGGTGAGGTCTGGAGAAGGTAGAGGACTAAGCTGCCTGCACAGGCCAGCCAGGATACCCAGGGTAGGGTGGGAGAACGTCTGCCTCTTTGGCCCCAGACATGTCCATCCCTCAGCTTGAGCCTTGGTGGTCTCTGCCTGCGCCCTCCAGACAGCCCGTGCTGCCAGGTCTGCGTCTCCCTGACTCCTCCGGAAGGAAGCATCCTGCAGCTGCGCCGCTTTTCCCAGGGGCGCTGGTCTGGGGAATTCACGCCCAAGGTCACTGCCTCTGCCCAGTTTCTCAGTCTCTCTCCAGCGCTTCTGCGGCTGCCTCCTGAAGGCCTGTTTGCTTCTGTCGAGCTGAGTCTAACAGGAAAACAGCTGAGCGCCAGCCGCCGGCAGGGGTCCGAGGCCCGAACTCAAGGCCTCTGTCCCATCTCCTTCTCCGCCTCTCCAGCTGCGGTTTTGAGCTCTGGCCAAACCACGCCGCTGTCCCTGAGGCCGGACACCTGCTAAGGGCCGAGTCCTCCTCCTGGTGAACCTGGCAAACTCCTACCTAGTTTTCTGTTTCCGCTCAGGCCCCGGCTCTCCTGGGAGCCTCTCTGTGAGCTTCCACCGCCTGGGCACTGAATGAAGCCTCTCCTTTGCTCTGCAGCCCAGGGGTCCAGGCTACCGTTTGCTCGCCCCCTGGCCTCACACCGGACCGAGCTTCCGTCAGAAGCTGGCTCAAGACTGGGGCTGTGGACCAGCGACAACGGGGCATGTGCTGCTGGCATCTGTCTCCGAGACTCGTGGCCCAGACATGACCTCCAGGCCTTGACCCCTGCTCCTCCTCGTCCTCTGCGCCCCTCGGGGCTCCTCTCCGCCTTCCTCCTGCCCTACTCTCTGGGGCCAATCCCCACGGCTCCACTGGCTCCAGTCCTGCCCCAGATTCTCGCCTCCCCGCGTGCCCACCGTCTGCCCCTCGCACCGCTGAGCAGGCCCTCATGTCCATGTCCATGTGGTCCTCAGGAGCACCCGGCACCGACAGAGGAAGGATGATTTTAGGTAGCAAGTGGAAGCAGGGACAGGAAGGACCTGTCCGGTGCTTGACATTATTTAATGGAAGGCCTAATAATAAGGGACCAGGGGAACACACCGGGGAAAGCAGAGCAGCAGCCTGAAGAAAACGACACAACTGATAAATACAAGTGGAGTGAAGGGAGGTATGTGCTAAGGGCCCAATAAAGTGCTGCTCACACTCCTCTGCAGTCTTCACAGCAGTTTTCTGAAGCTTTGTAGGACTGCTTAGGAAACAGTACCTCTCAAGTGGTAAAGATACTTAAAATTTAATAACTCGTTTTCTTCTATTAAAAGATAACTAGGAGCTGGGCACGATTGTGCATGCCTATAATCCCAGCATCAGGAGGCTGAGGCAGGAAGATCATTGCGGGTTTGAGGCCAGTCTTGGCTACATAGTGAGTTCAAGGACAGCCTGAACTACGTAGCAAGACCTTGTCTCAGAAAAAAAAAAAAGAAAAGAAAAGAAAAGAAAAAAGATAGTTAAGTGATTAGTAGAATAGGCTTTCGGTTCATTCCACAGCACCAAAGGAAAAAAAAAGACCAAGTTTCAAATTAGCAATTATGAGATAATATTTTAAAATATATTTTCTATTTATCAATTGGTTGAACTTGCATGTACTTGTGTATCTCCATCAATAGCTGCAAAATACCCAAAATGATGTCTCGAATTTATTGACATCCTTTAAAGTTATTTCTGTCTGATATAATTTATATTTTCTGCATCACTTTAATTCTTTATTTTTTACAGCACATTTGTGTATTGCATCACTTTTTCAAGAAGTGATTTATTTTTAACGGTACTGAGGATGGAATCCAAGGCCTTGAATCCAGGAGCTACATCTTCAACACTATTATTTTTCAGATTCTGAGTCAGGGTCCTGGTCGCCAAGTCCTGAGCTGCTCATGCGGACTGCAGCGTGCAGTCAGTCCGGCTGCTTCAATCCCACCAGGGCTGGAGTCTTGGCTGAGGCCACCGCACCAGGCAGAGTGACTTTAGGAAATGGGAGCAGGCGCCAATATGTGTGTCATGGATGGTAAGGGCACTAAAAGTGTTTCTTCTGTAAACTTTTACAGAATCATTCTTAAATTCTAAAAAGGAGTTTTAAAAAGGAAAAACCATGAATCCCGAGTTAGTAGAGCTAAGTTAGAAACTTGGAAAGGGCAAGCAGAGCCAAGGCCGAGGTTGAAAGCGCCAGAGAGGAGCAGCGCCTTTCCCTGAGGAGGCGGCCCAAGCCCAGCCGGGGTCCTGGGACGCAGAGCGCCCAGCCGCGCTTCCCAGGTCGCCGGCACCCGGCCCGGCCCGGCCCGGCCCGGGGTCTCAGCCCCGTCTCCCCTGTGCTGGAGGCGGCTGAGAACCACGGCTCCGGCTGTCGGCTTCTCGCAGGTGCGCGCGGCCGGGCTTTCATCCTCCAAGGGAAGGAGAAGCTGGCCGGGGCAGCGGGAGGGAGGCCGGGCGCCGCGGGGCAGGGCCGAGCGGACAGAGAGCGGGGGGGGG